TAGCGGTCCATGGTTATATAGTCAAAGGGGAGCACACATTCTTGCATAAAGGCATAATGTATAACGCATAAGAAAATTGATCAATCAAAGTTTTTATTTTTATTATCACGATGAAAATGAAGGACTCTGATTGGTCTATTTTCTCATGCGTTATGCATTATACTTTATGGAAGAGTATGTGCTCCTCGCTTTAGGCCGGTATTCATAATCGGATCTTATATTTCCTTTCTTCCTTCCTTCAATATTTGGCTACAGGCCTCTATAAGAGTAATGCCCCAACGCCAGTTTCCGATTAATGATATAATTCGAGAGCAAAGTCTTGGAAATTTTCAAGACACGATCCAAAAAAATCACAAGGTCCGAACTTGTTCGAACACGTCTTGTCGTGACGGCGGTTAGGCCGGGACTAGGATCTTATATTTAAGCTGTCTTAAGTTCATCTTCAGATGCTGTACGGATTATTTCATTGCTACAGAATATCTGAAGATGAACTTAAGACGATCTTAAATATTAGACCCGACTATGAATACCGGCTTTAGAGAGCCTGGAGCCAAATATTGAAGTTGAAGTTAGTTTAGACTCTGTCCCTCTATTCCTTAATCGGTGGTTAGAACAAAAGGGAAGTGTATTTTAGAGGTGTGCTTAAAACTTGACTTTTATCCTTTGAATATTATTCATTATGTTATTACAACGTACTTTGCACGAATTTTGAGCATGTATTTTCTCGTTTCTAATGTTATCGATTAAAATTTTCGCGGTGGGGAATCAAAAGCTCCAATAAACAAACAAAAATGTTTTATTACAACGTATTTTGCAGGAATTTTAAGCATTTATTTCCTCGCTTCTGACATCACTAATTAAGATTTTCACAGTGGGGGATTAGGAGCTCCAATAAACAAACAAAAATGTTTGATTACAAAGATGTTGAATTATGTAATTATACATTCCCAGACAGCACAAGATCTCCTAAGGACGTCCTGAGGATGAACAAATGTCTTCAGGACTTTCTCAAGATGTATTCTAGATGTCTCTTGGACATCTGTGCTGTTAGGGTTTCTATTAGAAAATTAATGATTTAAAAAAAAATTATATGTTGTGACGTGGCAGCCGTGGAGGCGCCCGTCTCAAGAATCCCGTGTCGATTTGGCGAGAATGTTTTTCGCGTGTCGCGTCGCTAACGGTTTTTCGAAACCTTGCCGAATATCGCGTTTCGTCGAATTGTTTGTTGTGAAGATCTTAGAACAAAGCGAAGAAGCGATTTTTGCGAGCGGAGCAGATGCGAAAGTCAGCGCGTCCCGAATTTTGTGCCCCTCGACGTCCCTTGCCGGCCATCAGGACGAGGAGCGGAGGACATCGAGGAGGGAGGATGCAGAGGACGACAACGAGCGAAGCCCTCACTCAGGTGAATCGCACTCTCGTACTTTGTGATTAAAATGTATTATCGCAAAATTATCGGGCGCTCAGCAATAGAGAATATTCTATCGCTGAGAAGCTATCGTAGTTCGAACACAGTATCGCGTTTAGACGGATCAGCTGTATTTACTTGTAGCGAAGCAGCCGTCGCGAGAAACCCGGCAGGAAAAAACGGGAGAGCCGGGAGAGACAACAGGCAAACTCCCGATGTCAACAGTGTCTCGAGACGAAAAGGGTCTCGAGACAATATTACCGAAATCTGCCGATTCTCGACGATCGACGACCCCAGGACGAGGGGGGCAGCGACGAGGGAGGATCCGCGAGGATACGCGATCCTCCCAAGAAGAATCAGCTGGCAGCCTTACCGCGACTACCGCCGCGACCAGACTATTTTTCCGTCGAACGTGCCGCAGAAAGTGAGAGAGAGAGAGTACGAGAGAGAGAGCAGGGAGCGCAAGAGAGTGACGAGTGAGCGAGAGGGAGAGGACAGAGAGAGAGAGAGAGAGAGAGAGAGAGAGAGAACGAGGGAGCGCAGTGAGAACGCCAGAGAGCGGAGCGAGGGAGAGAGCGAGCGGAGTGAGAGAGAGTGAGCGGAGCGAGAGAGGGAGAGCGGACCGAGAGAGAGAGAACCGCCACCGCTGCCGTCACCGCCGACGCCGCCGCCGACGCCAGGGTCGTCACCGAATTCTGTAAGATCGACCATCTGCTCCAAATTTATTTGTGTCGCGTATCGTCCCTTATCGTGCCGTATCGTCTCGTCCGCGGAGTGGTCGCGCGAGTAAAAGAAGGCTCGCCCGAGGAAAGCGTCCTCGGGCTTCGTGTACCGTCTCGAGAGGAGCGTTGACGTGACAACCTCCTCTCGTGTACAGACTATCGGGACGTGCGAGAGTCCCCGAATAAACGTCTCATTATTACCAATATCGAGTCCAGTGATTTCGCCTTCTCCTAACCCATCCCGTCTCCGACTTTAATTTAATACGAGCTACCGGTCCCGACGGTTCCGGGACGCGCATCTTGGTTGTCATAATTATCTACTCTCGCGTTTATCGAGGTGGTGCGGCCTTTCCGTACCTGGCGCCCAACTCTCGCGGAGATCTTAGTGGCGTGTCCAGGAGCCGACGGCAATTTGCCGACGCGGCTAACAGACGACTGTTTGCCGTCGCTCGCGAGAAGAACGTTCGCGAGTGCCGTCGCAATGTATAAAGTTTATTTTTATACAAAAAGAAGAAAGTTAACTCTACGATATAATCATTTAAATTGTAAAAAAAATAAATAAAGAATTATTATACCTACGGAAATGTTTGAGTTGTCGGGTCAAAATCTGAAATTTACACTCGAATTACACAAGTGTTTTATGTCTGAAACATTTATTTTCGCAAATCCTAAATTTCCACAAGCTTTAGCATAGTGTAACAATGCATATGTCGTATAATTCGATCTTAAAAGGATAGTGTTGAATAAATATCTGATGTCGTTAGATTCTTATCGCCAAGCATCAACACATCGGCTGCATTTTTTTGGGTATTTGCGCGATGTAAACATCCAATCTTTTTCCAGCATGTAATAAGTAGTAAGGATAAAATGATACTTACAGCGCGTGAACGCCCAAAACGAACCCAACTATTGTCTTGCATAATACGTAAACAGGCTAAATAAAAGTATAAATATAAATCGAATGTTTTCTTTCATATTCATATTAAAAAAAATCTTTATCTCGAGAAATCTTACAATTTCTATCGTAAATCCGCGAACTTTCTTCCTTTCTTACTAATTTGAAACTAATCACATCTATATGCTACTTTCTCATCTCCTTTTTTATCTCGCTGTTTCTCGTCACGTTTGTTAATTTCATTAATTTTAATACAGCCAGTTTTCAAATTTTCTATATAACATGAACCACTACAAGTACTAATCATGATACACAATGACTCTTAATTTCATGCGTCAAATAGAAGTATGGTGTTTAACTGCGGTATTCTAGCTTCTTCTTTCAGAACACCATACATTTACCTATTGTACGCAATTAAAAATCACTTGTATCTGTAAGGCAAAACTCGACACGCGTTATACATTTTGATCCTTTTTCGACTTGCTTCGCCTAGCGCTATACCCCTTACCTCATCGTCCCGCATGTATCCAACGAGTCGCTCGAAATTCAGAAGCGTATGACTTGCAAACTTGAAATGAAAAACTATTACAAACATATGTTTACAAATAATATACAACTCGCGTTGCATGCGGGATGATAAGATAAGGGGATAGCGCTAGGCAAAACAAATTGAAAATCGATCGAAATGTGCAACGCGTGTTGAGCTCTGCTATAAGTGGCTATCTACAATACGTGAAATAAGCTCAGCGTAAGGAGTAGGAATAGTAAGAAGAAATAAAAATAATATATATCTCGTTTACGCCTATACTTCAGCTCCCCTACACGCACGCACGCACGCACGCACACACATACAAATAAAAGAAATTAATTTAATTTTTGCTACTGTTACTTCATACACTATTATGACTCCATGTATTATAGACGACCCTTAAAGTGTCTCGATGCTCTACATGTTTATTTTGGTTGTCATTGTCGATTTGATGCCGTTAAAATTTCATCCTAGCTAGCAATGAGACACCACTCTGCATACCACTCTACCAACTAAATTGATTAATAATTATCGATATACGAATATCAATTATATCACCGCGCAGAATTAAACCCAATGCTGCGAATGAATTGCACATCGTACTTTACGATTATATCGTACTTGATGATATCTGCGAAAAACAATGAATCGAGAATGCTATCGAATAATTTCTTTTACGTTTACCATACTCGTCTAACGCGTGCCTACCTAGCAATCTTGCCTAAAGTAGAATCTATCAACTATAAATATGAGATACTGATTATGATTGATTAGCAGGACGACGCGTTGCCGACGAAGAAGAGCAATTATCTGTAGCGGTGTTTAATTTCATGCGTCGGCGTTTAACAGGATCCTCCTTCTGGAACAAACAATAACTTTCTTATTATTATTGCAACAATTTCACTCGCACAAACGGTGTTTCAACTTGACATTCCAATTTGAAATTAAGATATCTACTGTGTTTAAGCACAAATTAGGAATCTCACCGCGTGTGAACGCAGTTTGTCGAACATATCACGCGCGGTGACGTAAGCAATTGATCCCACTTGCGCGGCCATGGTAAGCAGCGTCTCTGGCAGGATAAGAACAGGATCAGCGGTGGAATTTGGTAACTGTTCGCCAAACGTTCTCCTCGACTCATTAGAGCACCCGTTAGATCCACTCGTTCGACTTGACTGTTGCGATCGATTAAATTTATCTGAGTCATTACGTGTTTCGTCCGCTTTAATCTTACTGCTTCTTTTATCATGAACGGAATGTCTTGTAGCTTTTCCTGAAGTCATAGTCGCTGTCTGAATATTCTTAGTCTTATCAAAAAGATCGTTATTGTTGTCAGTAACCGATGTGGTGTGCGAGTGAAAACTCTGCATGAAGTCGTTTGTATCAATCTTTGATTGCGAATGCGTCCTCCAATAGAACGTTTCTGCAGACGATTGATGCTGATCACCTACTACTCTCGAATAGCTTGGAAGTTGATTTCGCTCGTCATCGTTTGAGCTTGTCGCGTTGTACTGCGAGTTCTTTTGTTCGCTGAACGTTTGCTGCTGTGCATTTGCAGACTTTGAAGAGTCGGCTTCTCGCACCGGCAAGGTCTCCGTCACGAAGGAATAGACTCCATCAGATCGTTTCTCGAATTCAACATTTGTGTCGGGAGTCGTCGGTAAGTACTCATTGTAGATTTTGCCGTGAATGTCCACCATGTAGGTTGAGCTCACCGCTGGATTTGGATTCTCCACAGGCATCTGCAGATTAGTCTCCTGTGCCGAGAAGACGTTCACAAAATGCCCCTCTTTAACATACAAGGAGGAGCGCGGTGAGGATGTCTCAGACAATAATTCGAAACTGGGCGAGTCTCGACTATCACGGTGTTGTAGTTCGGTAGCGGAGGATGTGTTGGGCTGTGTGAGTGATGGATTCGCATTCTCTGACATAGGCATCTCAACTATCACGAAAGTATCCACGTGCTCTCGCTCGTCTGCCGCGATAGAACAGCCAGAGCAGTAACTGATCTTATCGATGTCTTCCATAAGATCATCACACCAAGTATTTTCGTGGAATGAATCAATGTTCAGAGCTCGGTTACCCGTGATGGAACAATTCATACGAAGCTCACCATCGAGGATCTTTAGCGCGTCAGAAGTCATATTGCAAATTGGAGATGTAATATCTTCCTGCACGTTGTTATTGTTAACGTTCTGAATAGATTGCCTGCGTTCCTGTTTATTGTTGGTATCCATATCTAGATTATTGGTCATCTCATCATCTCGGTAATATCGTTTCTCCTTCAGGATTTTGTGGAGCTGACCCTTGATACCGTCAAGATCACGTAAATACAACTTCGTCAGATGCAACTGTCGATCATGATCCTTCGCGTTCACGTTCGAATCCTGTGGTTCATCCACCCGTTCGATCGAAGCATCACTAAAATGTCCCTCGTCTTGGGCATTCATTCTCTTCTGGTTTTTCTCTTTTGATTGCGGATCGAAGAAGCATCGAGGATATCGTTTTGAGAGAGAAGAATGTGATCGTCTTTTAGATTGTTTGGTTTCATTGGATAAAAAAGACTTAATGCGTTTATTACGTTTGTTTAGCATTTCCGTCATTTGCTTCACAACTTCTTGAGTGACTGTAGACACTATTTCCTTCTTCATCTATAATAAAATTAAAATTAATAAATATTTATTCGCTGTTACGAAAGTATGCGTACAAATATTTTTAGTCACAGACACATATTTGCATATACAGATATTTCCACATATAGTGTTTGATAAGTAAGACAACGCTCGTATAATGTAGATTAAGTAAATTAACTAAAACTTAACACAAAATTCTAAAACTATTTTACAGTTACATAAAATTTGTTTATTAATTAAACAAAATTTGTTTATTAATTAAAGAAGATTAGTGAATAATTGCCCACGCTGCAGTGGATAAACTCTGTAAAAGAGACTCAAGCTTCTACTCATCGTTCGCCAATCGGCAACAAATGAAAGTTAGAATAACTTTCTTTTTTGTTTATTTGATTTAATTTACAAGTACATAATGACAAACGTCGCTCATCTAATGAATCGCGCGCAATGGTTCACAAATCTTCATCAATTCAAAGTTTTACATGATTGTTTGCAAAATGATAGAGGACTTTTGTATATTCAGTTTAATATAATCTACATGCACTCGAGCGTTGTCTCATTTATCGTCAAACACTCTGTATTTATACCAGCATCTACATACTTACAGATTCCATATACTCTATGAACCATGGAGGAGGTGAAGTATCCGCGTGCAAAACTTTTGACGATTGCTGTCGCGACGAAGCGTTTGAGTCGTCAACTTGGAACTGCGTGTCACTTGGAACTATAAATCTCCGCTGCCTCTCATTCATCTCGATGACCATATTTGTCATGGATTGTGTCATGGTGCTTATATTTGAAATACAACTAAACATCATCTTCATGGTGTTCTGCACATCTCGTTCTTGCTTTATTACATCACATTGTTCCATGTCTGAAATACTATTTGATTCAATAAGTTTCCAAGGTCGCACGACCAATACAAGTCCTTTACTTGGTGAGGAAGTTTTTGCAAGCTAAAATAAAAATTCAGAATTCAGATCTTGGCTTTAAATTTTTGGGTAGTTCATACACTCATGAAGCACTCATATTTATCATATAGAATGAAGAAATAAGAATATGAAAAGAACGACAAGAATTTAGCCAGAACAACGTATCATACAAAATATAACATGAAAATTTGAATGCAACTTTCAAATTTATATCACATCAATATAACACAAAATTTATATCATTGTATGACAAAAATTTGATAATTAATTCAATATAGTATACTTGATTCATAAATGTAATTTTAAAAAATTGTAAAATTTTTATCATAGAATGTCTTAGATCGTGATAGTCATGAAAATCTATCTAGTTAATCATATTAAAAGAAAAAGTTACACTGTCTGTATTTAAAAGTAAATTATGTAAATGTTTGATATTTGTTATAAGAAAAAAGAAAATAAAAAGATAATAATTCAGAAAGTACAGTTATAAAAAACAAATCTCTTATTTCAATCTAAAATATACTATCTTTAATATGTAATACATACCTTTAATGCCTCCTGAAATTCGTATTCTGAGTCTATTGGAAGATCGTCACCATCATCATCAATATAGGAAATACGACTGTCTCTTCCAATTCCAAAGTTGTCATACTGCAATATATAAAATAAACATGAAAAATATGAAAATTATTAATACATGCACACTTGCCGTTCTCTCTTATATCACTGTATTAACTCTGGGAATAAGCTATTTTATTGCTTATTAGAAATCATAGGCCTTTCAAACCTATTTAATTTAAAACTCTGAACTTATTACCTTATTAACTCTGAACTTATTAACTCTGAATTAAATGCTAACTTACTAACAAATATTTAATTTTCTTCCCAGAATGCAAGTTTATAATTTTTTAAATAGAAGAGAAAAAAAGAATGTCAATATTTTTATTTCAATATTAAAACTTTATAAAATTGCTTTTAAGCTGTCAGATTCTTTTGATTAAATCAAACATAAACACAATCTTATAAATTAAATCTGGTTACGAATCTAAATAGGTTTTAGAGGCCTTGCATGTCACTATAAAGATTAAGAAATCAAGAAGAAGAGAGAGATAAATACAATATTACCATTTATGTATTTTTTTATATGTAAACTTTAGGAGAAAGTATAACAAAGCATAGAAGCTCAAGTTATCTACTAAATTTATGCACTAATATACTTATATATAAACAAATATAGATATCCAATGACGCCATAATGATACCAAAATGCGATTATTTGCAATAAATAAATGTGTGTGTGTGTGTGTGTGTGTGTGTGTGTGTGTGTGTGTGTGTGCGTGCGTGCGTGTATGCATGAAAACGCCACTCTCACCAGTTTCTGTCGCAAATTGTCCTGGGTGAGAAACTGTCCTGATGGGATAAGTAGGTGTTCCTTATTCTCGGTGAATTTTCCGATATACACATTCACATAAAAGCTGTAATATTCCGTGTTGTTGTTCACCATTGTCGCGGTCGCCCGCGACGGCGATGTCAACGGTACCATCGTAGGTTTGTTCGTTTTCAGAGAACAACTAATAGAATAAGTTAGAGCGAAAGAAAATATACTTGTTTCATTCTAACTTGTTGCACTAGTGCAGAAGTTCTTCGAAAACGAACAGATCTTAGGTCTGTTCTTTCGCTCTGCACTACTGCACTAGTGCAATAAGTTATGGCTTCTGCACACAGGACGCGGTAATGCTTGCCGCGCGGCGGAAGTCCGCGCGACAGCCAATCAATATGTTGTTTTTCCGTACGAGCTAGAACGTTATTACGGAAAGTAGCATATTGATTGGCTGTCGCGCGAACTTCCGCCGCGCGGCAAGCATTACCGCGTTCTGTATGCAGGAGCCATTAGGGTAATGTCCCATGGTACGTATTTTTGCGTAAGGGCCGTGGCACACAGAAAAACTTAGGGTGCGATTACATGAGCGTACGGAAATACGGAAATGCGGAAATACGGAAGACAAAGTTACTAGGACTTAACTAGATTTATGCATTTCCGTGCTTTTGTTCCATAGGTTTATTTCTCCTAAATATTACATGGAGCATATTTTATACGGAAAAGCAGAACGAGGAATTATGAAACATTAATTGTAAACAATATTTATTGATTAAAATGTTTTTATTAAACGGATAAGTTGAAAAAAGAAACGTATTAATAAAAATTGCAATAAATGAAGTAAATATAATTTTTTAAAATATATACAAATATTTATTTATCACTATACCATTCCGCATTTCCGCACAAATTGTGCTCCATGTAATATTTAGGACAACCAAATCAACGGAACGCGTTTACTCCGTTATATATACTCCTTGCGTGAGCGCATACACAAATCTGTGAAAGAAGATTTAAAAGCTGTAAAGTTTGGCTTATTACGTTTGATTGCCACGTTTTTGCTTGCTGCAAATATGATTTTAAATTATATGTTAATGGCTATGATCACATTGGTAATACGAGCACGAAAGCAACCAAAGAGGTATATGGAAATAACGATGAAAAAAGTTACAAAATTATTTTATATCTACAATTGTTACAAAAAATTAGAAGACAGACGAAATCGCAGAATGTGGGTAAGACCCATATTTTCTGAACAACGAAGATTGTTACAAGGAGTCAGTGATAATTTAATCGTTGAAATGCTATTGTTTGACAACGAAAAATATTTTAACTATCTGCGGATGTCACCAACAATGTTTGATGAATTACTGACAATTGTTGAACCTCACATCAAAAAACAGAGAGTAGTTCGTAATCCAATAAGTGCTCGAATAAGATAGCAGGTGACTTTACGATGGTGGAACTTCGGGTGACAGTATGGTATCACTGTCTTACTTACTTTTTGCTTGTTCCGTATTTCCGCATAAAATCCGCGGAAAAGCAGAACGAAACCGCACAGATCCTATTTTGGTACTAGTTACTTTTCCGCATTTACGTATTTCCGTGTTTCCGTACACTCAATCGCAATCTTACAGCTATTGTAGACGAGTCTTTAAAAACGTCTTATGACTCGATTTTAGACATTTGTGCCGTCTGGGGAAATTTTCAGCGGAACGGAATGTGTGGAGTTAGCACGACCAATCAGCCGTTCCGGTTTTCTTCCGGCGCTTTTTCTATTTTCCTTGTGTCCCATGGAGCGGAATACGCGGAAGCGGATCACGCAGAATAATACAAAAAGTAGACTTTTTAATGTTATTTCTTACTTTTTGAATAATATTAATAATATTTTATACAAATGATATAATATATGATAAATTAGTAAAGAGTAAAATTAGTTTCTCAGTAAAATATTTTTTATGAAAATATGTAATTACCCTTATAGAAATATCATACTAAGAATCATTGATAATTACTTATTTTCAGTATTAAAAATACTGGATAATAAGTAATTATCAATGATTCTTAGTATGATATTTCTATAAGAGTATTACAATGAAAATATAATATTGCTGTGATATTTCTGCGATATTACGTGCTGTGTGGGATATTATATTAATATAATATTCCGTATAAGGTTTCTATAATGTTAATGGAATGAGCATGGACGAACATTTTCATGTTATTAGGAGGTTTAATGACAGGTTTATTAACTTTCGTGTAATGTTACATCTTACAATTTAAGGTTATTGTAACCTTATGGCAATATTAATGTGCTGTGAGGGAGACCAAATATTCTGTCCACAAAATAAAGCCGAAAGTTAGCAGTTTAAAACAGAGTGAGAAAGTTGATTTACCCACTGAAATGTATATTCTACCTGGGGATAGATCATAAATCTTTTCCCCTAGCGTGAATTCGTGAAAAGTGTAACCAAGTGTAACACTTTTGCACTCGTGAAATGTGAACTTGTGCAACATGAAATGTGATAACTAATGGCTTGGTTTATATCGTACACTTGATACGCGTACTAAATAGTAACTTTCTATTAGATAATCTTACGACGATATGTATCGACGATATATATAAACAATGGTATATTAAGTATATAATTTGATATAATTTGTAAAGTATATAATTTGATATAATACCATCAAAACGTATTGATTGAATACGTCGCCATTGATATGCATTGTCGATATTAAGATTATCTAATAGAAAGTTAC